ACTTTTAAAACTCAAACTATATATATCTCTTATATTTAAATTAAATTTCAAAAATTATTTTCATATACCATATTTTTCAAATCTAAATCTATCTATCGGAAAAAAGTTGACCGACAACATGGAATGTAAATTTAGTAGAAGTAGCTCTGGTGACAAAGTTGTAACTATGGTGATCAAATCATTAAAAGGTGTGAACACTTCAGATATCTCAGGTCTATTGTTCGAAGTGATTGTGATATAGATGGGGATGTTATTAGTAGAATTCAAGTTGGTTAGTTGATGTGGAGGAATGCTTCGGGCCTACTGTGTGATAGAAGGCATAGGACTGGCAAGGAAGTGGACTACAAGTAAAAAGCTGATGACAAAGAGCACACGGGCGACTAGGGGTGGGATTTTTGGCTTTTCAAAGAGAAGCATAAAACAAAGTTAAGTGTTATCGAGATGAGAATGCTTAGGTGGATGAGTGGCTTGACAGTTTAAGACAATAAGACAAAATGCAAAATTAATATATCCGTGATAGGGTTGGTGTAGCTCCAGTGGCGGACAAGATTGTGGACAAGATTAGAGAGAGTCATCTTAGATGATTTAGTCACATTAAACGTCGATAATTTGATGATCCGGTTAGGAGAGCAGATGTTTTAGATTCGACTAATGTTAAGAAAGACAAATTTAAACCTAAAAAATGGGCATATTGTATAAAAAATGATCTTAATATATTATAATTAAATAAAAATTTGACACCCAATAGGAAGCAATGGAGAAAAATGATTCATGTAGCCGACCCCATTTAGTGGAATAAATGCTTGTTTTTGTTGTATATATATTCATTTATTGGCAAACTCATGTTGATACATTTATATGCTTCCATGTGTTTGATTGCGCTTGTGGATTTCATACAATGAGGTTATGTGTACTCCAAACATGTTTTTACTTGAATTCTTCTTTGGTATTCATTTGAACCAACTGAATCCCAAATTTAGTTTCGTCTTCCTTCTTTTATACATCCCTAATTCTTATTCATTCTACCATTTTGAGCAAGTCATTTGTAAATTTGGTAATATGTGCTCAACTAAACCAGTTTTATTGGTGTATTTTCAGGTAATTGTGGATATAATGTAAAGCAGGTGATTTTCTTGTATCTATATGCATATTATTTTGTTATTTTGTGAACATTTTTTTTTCTGGAAATAGTATCTTTTATTCATGTTAAGGTATGCTTTAGTGCCTAATCTTTCAATCATTGTCTGCAAATCAGCAGAAAACCATATTTAGCATTACATTATGTTTGCTCATTTTTTCTGTAAATATTTTTAAAAACATGTTTCTTTAATGTGTTTTCTACATTTTTTTTATTTTTTATTCTAAAAACAAATTAACATGTTTTTGAAAGCGTCCAAAACAAAATTTTGGTGTTTTGAGTGTTTTTGAAAACAACTTCATCTTAATCAAATGTGCCTAACACATTTTGTTTCCAATCAAAACATAACTAAACGAAGCAATAAAAAAAAGGAAATAAAAACAAAATGATTCCGAACGCCCCCTTAAAGTAGCATTCTAATGGTCTGCACAATTGCAAGGGATGCTCAGGACATGGAAATATGTAAATGGCACGAGCATGGGCTTAGATTAAATATTAATAATTCTACATTTATTTTTTCTACATTAGTTGGTTCTTATTACATTTAGCATCAAATTACTTTGGAAAGTGCTAAGCTCATATACATCGACTCTATTGAAAACATTAACAATAATCAGGTTATTTTGCAGCATTTTGACAATTTCTTTTTCTAATTGTTAACGATTGATTATACCAATAAAAAGGATTTTATTATGCTACTCAACATGCAATCATCAAATTTCAGTATAAAATATGAATTTGCCTATGTTTGAACATAGATTAAACGTATATTGTCCAATATGTTTTTTCATATTATTTACACTTGCCTGGAAATAAATATGTTGACTGCTTATTTTATGGTAGAAAACTGTTTGTTAGTACAGAAGAAATCCTTACGTAAGAATCAGCTTATTTTATTTGTCATTTTATATCTTGGTGAAGATTATTTGCTCGAGTTCCATCATGACCTGATTCTAGATGATTGGCTCTGTATAGCTGCTGCAACTTTTAACTTCCCTTGCGTTTCTTGCTATTATGAAGTCATTAACAGCATCTAGTTATTATTTGTCATTGCAGAGCATGGAAGAATTGTTTTCCTTATCTGCAAAAACATTAGGCATCGATAAGGCAGTGGACATTAATTCGGTATGATGAGTTATTTCATTTTTTATGGCTCTCATAACAAAGGAAATTTGATTTTTTTTGCCTAAAGATGTTTATCAATGGATCTTCATAACGCCATTTAACTAATGTTTTATGTGTCTTGATCAGCATAGTTAAATTTATTTCCTTGTGTTGTCATGTCATGTATGAGGGAACTTTCTTTTGCTGTTTGATTTCTTGTTTCCTATCATCATACTAACTTTTTTTTCAAATTCTTAAGAGCGATTATAGATGAGTTATTTCATTTTTTATGGCTCTCATAACAAAGGAAATTTGATTTTTTTTGCCTAAAGATGTTTATCAATCGATCTTCATGACGCCATTTAACTAATGTTTTATGTGTCTTGATCAGCATAGTTAAATTTATTTCCTTGTGTTGTCATGAAATGTATGAGGGAACTTTCTTTTGCTGTTTGATTTCTTGTTTCCTCTCAGCATACTAACTTTTTTTCAAATTCTTAAGAGCGATTATAGATGGAAGAGCTTTATCAAGGCTTTACGTTTTTTCTATTATTTTCTTTTGTTCCGTTCTTTGCATTTTTTCTGCTATTTTCTTTTTGTTCTGTGCAAACAGGAAACCATCTGAAATTCATTTTATAAAGTGTTCTCATCTTGTTTCCAGATTGTGAAGATAGACTTTGGTACTGAGATTGATTGAAACGTAATATTTATTTTGGCTGGATGAATTCACATTTTAAGCAATAATATAGAAGAAGGAATAATGATTGTTGATTTATATCTATATTTTATGCATAAAAAAGTATTTTCCTTCAAATGGGAACATCGTTCATCTTTGACTTTACTTTTCAAATTAGTGTTAATAGATGGGACCAATCTTATCATTAGGTCTTCTTTCTGTTTTTTTGTAGTAAAAAGAAGACGCCAGGCTATCTCTTGACGATCCACGTTATTAGCAAAGATTGGCATGAAATTTATAAAATGCGCTACCATAGCTTGCTCTGATCTCATTAGGGCACTAGTACATATATATTTCCAGACTTTTAAGTATGAGTGGTCAATCATTATTTTCTCACTTTCCTGAGAAGAAAGAAACTTCTGTCTTTATTCATAGGAGGTTCTATTTATAATATGAAAAGGAATACAATTTCCCTAAGGACTGCCAAATCGATAAGGGGTGCTAGTTATAATAATTCATATTTCTTAATATTGGAATATAAGACTAGTACTATATCTTACGTTAGAGCATTTATATTAGTGAGCTTCAACTTGTTACACATTTTCTAAAGTTGAAAATGCCCCAAATGTTTGGTGAATATATACTATTTTAAGTTACAAACATGAGTAACATCATCGTTCATGGTACCACGTCCTGAATGAAGTAGAAGTCAACCTCAATGTGTTAGGTCATTTCAAGAAATATTTGATTACTAGCAACGTAGATTGCTGTAAAATATAAAGAATATGAAGTAAAAGTAAACCTCAATGTGTTATGTCATTTCATGAAATATTTGATTACTAGCAACGTAGATAGCTGCAAAATATAAAGAATAAAACAATAAACTATGCAGTCAAAAAAATCAAATTCTTCTAGAAGACCACATCATCTCACAAGTGTAGTGATGCAGGGCTTATTGGCTGAACCGATCAGTTCAGCAGTGGGGAGCCGGTCCAGCCCCACCCTCCCTCCCCCCCTCGCTCCAAGATGGTGGTTATCTCCTCAATCCCGCGCCGTAATCCCCCTTCCCTACTTATTCGCCTTCAGCCGGCTCCCTTCCTGACCCCTTCCAGCCTCAAACTGCACTGCCACTCCACCTGCTGTCTCGCAACCATCTCCCTTGCGTCCCAGCCTATTGCCTTCCTCCCCTTTTCTAGCTATCCGCCGGACTGCTCACCCCTAATCCATCTCCTCCCTCCCCTGCCTCTCTCCACCCCTTCTAGCCACCACCGCAACTTCCACCTTCTACTCCCCAAGTCTGCCACCCTCACCAATCCTCACGCACAATCACCGCTGTCCCCGGACTGTCTCATCCAGCACTAGTCGAGCATTAGTGTTTTTGCTGAGTTTTGTGTTGTTTTATTGTCGTCATTGTAATCTATGCTGTTCAGTAATAAGTTCTGCTTCCCTTTTGGATCCGGCTTAATTCCTGTATCATGTAGTATGGCATTGCTTTTACATCCGTACTAGAGCTGAACAAAGTTTGTTTGTTGCATTTTCTTGTATAACCACATGAGCTCCAACAAATATGTTGATACTCATTTGTGGATTTACTATCATTTGTAGATCGAGTAGAGCAGCATCAGAGAATGATTAAACATTGAGATGCCCATTTTGAATGCAAAAAACCATTTTCCGAGAAATCTTATGATATATGTGAGGATGAAATAAAGGGGCATTTACATACATACCACCCAAATTTTATGTATTTATATATATCTAACACCTAAACTTTATTTTTTAAATTTATACCACCCAAATCTTTCATATCACATAAAAATACCACTATTTTAACTTTTAAAAGTGAAATGCACCTTTTCTTGCTCAAGTAAGGTGGTATATATGTAAAATTTGACCTTTAGGTGTTAGATATGTAAGCACATAGGAATTAAGTGGTATTTATGTAAACAGTAAGATCATTTATCTACTAATTTGCGCTAATGGCATGTATCCTCAAACAATTATTATTTGTTATCCGCATTATGATTGCCAGCATGCGAGTCGCCAAATTAGTACCTAAAAAACTAGTTTAGTCTAAAAAATTAGTGGCATCTTTCCAGTAGGATGATGGGAAAACTCAATATTCAAAAGAAAGTATTTGGGACTACCCCACTTGGTCAAAAAATATTTTTATGCTCTCGATCACTCCATACAAAAAGAATGTTTTTGTCATGGATAACCAAAATAATGAAGGTTGTGGAGTTGTGTCCGACTAAAAATGAGCTGTGGCGCTGACCTCAGCCTTAACTTGCAAAACTTGTTAAACCATGCACATAATTCATAATATAGCATTGCAGTATGCCCTCTGTGTTGCTTGATGCAGACAACTACAACAAGGTCACCGTAGAGGAAGCCATCACTAACATTCAGTTGTAGCTTTGACCATTGTTGGATGATGAAAAATAATGAAATTCAGTTAGAAATAATTTTGCCAACTTGAGAGAATATATCAAAATAATTGCTCCCCTGAAACTGAGTAAAATTTTTTATGGCAAAGCAAGCTATGCACTGATCAATGAATTAACGTGGATGAAACTTTATGTGGTGTAACTCATTGGCAAGGAACTGGTTTAACACGAGGCAAATGAGAAACAATATTCTTGTCAAAGTTTTGTGTGAATAGGTTGAATCCTGAATAGGCTCGATGCCTTTTCCTTTTGCTTTCATTCCATTAAATAATAATCTTACAATCTATGTTAGGTACAAAATATTCTGTATAATCTATTTTAGCTAACTTAATAATGCATATTCATAATCTAAATATTCAACTAACAGGGAAATAAATTAGAATAAAGAAATTAGAAATAATTTAAATAAGGAAGCTCCAACTTATGAAAAACTCCTAATTTAGTTGTCTGATTTATGTTCTTCCCGATTGACATCCCCCCTCAAATTGATGCTGACTGATCAAGAAACATCAATTTGCTGACAAAAAATTTTGTCGGGACCAACAACCCTCAAGCCGTGAGTGTCGAAGCCGAGAATGTCGAAGCCTTAGAGACAACTCCTGAACCATAATATGATTTAAACAAAGAAAAGCAAGAAATCATCTATTTTTGTTGCCCAAAAATTCAAATTATAGCCACTAGAAGGATTCGCGTCCAGTTACACGATCTAAATGCTATCGATCTTGGCCCACAAGTAGGATCCGCGTCCTGTTATACGATCCAAATGTTATTGAAATGCTATTGATTCTTTAGACGACTACGAGGACGATTTGTTCCTTGAACTTCACGCAAAAAGTGTTGAAGCCGAGATCAGACGTGCAAATAAAAAAATGAAATATCTCGTTGGCGTGCAGATGAAGGTGACGAAGAAGCGGAAGTCGTTGCGGGTGGAGTTCGAACGAAGGTGAGGCACTGTCGAGACCAGCCGAGTCGAAGAGGATGTCGAAGTAGAACAAAGACGACGTAGACGAAGAAATAATCAGACGTCGAGAATTCCAGACGACGAGAAATCCAAATCATTGATTGAAATCAACCTAAGTGATCCAAAAAAAATCCCAAAAGAAACAAAAGATCATGCACTGTCTTGAATTTGGCCAAAGACTGAAGGAGAGGAATCCGAAGCCGAAGCCTGCGATCCTTGAGTGCCGAAAGATCTAGGAAGGATCTCGACGCTGAAATAAGTTGACTATCCTTGATTTGTGAAGCCGAATATAAAGTCGAAGTTGCTGAAGCAGAAGCGGACGAGATCGCAGATTGCAGATTGCGGATTGCGGACGAAACAACAAACAAACATGATTGTAGATCACAACTAGAACCAGACGCGGGAGACAGAACCAGGTAGAAGTGATTAATCGACCGAACAGTCAAGGCAGACGATCTAGCGAAGCAGTCAAAGAAGGTGAAGCAATCCAGGAGATCGAGCAACCCGATCGAGTGAGCCAGACAAGCAGGAGAAGCAGTTAAGGCGGGCAGATGAGCGGGCGAGTCAAACGAAGCAGCCGAAGCAGTCGAGTAGAGCAGACGAAGCCGTCGAAGCAATCAGCAGACCAGACAAGGTATACGAGGGTTTAGGCGAACTAGACAAGCTATCCAAACGAAGCAGAAGATGGTTTAGATAAAGCAGACGAGCAGACGATGAGCAGACGAACTATTCACATAGGGTTCGCCAAACGAGTAGACGGACGAAGCAGTCGCAGCAGACGAAGATCCCTCCAAAAGATTTTGAGGCGGAGCTTGCAGAGTCGTGTCTGCTTTCATTGCAAGGGGTTTTGTCTTATGGGGGAATCAAGGCAAAGAAATAATTCTTCTCTTCCTATAAGAAAACTGGCGGGAAGGGAGTCTTGATGGTCCTCCAACGA